TACCTGGCAAGCGGAATGTTTTCTTCTACAGCCCCAGCCTCCCCCATCAACAACGACAAGCGCAGCTGGATATATCCGAGAGAAATGGGAAGATGCCTGACAATGTCTGTCTCAGACACTGGGCACAAGTACAGGGTCCCCTGGGGTCACTCCTGCCTGGGGACTGCCCAGTGCCTGCGTGCTGAGGGATAGTGCCCAAGCACCGCGGAAGCGGCGGGAGCCCAGGCGCGGCGCCCGGACAGCGCTAACATCCCACAGGGTCAGTGGGGCCAGACATGCACGTCAGCTGGGGGCGGAGGGAGGGGCTTGCTGTGAGGGGCTCACTGAAGGGCAGTGGGGGAGGGGAGCAGGCTCGTTCCCGTCCACCACTGCAGGCCCCTCTACCGTCTCTGGGAGAATGGTCACCACCAGACGACACCGGCCCGGTGCAGTGCCTCGCGCGCCACTCAGCACACGTCCGCTCTCCAAGTGCGGAGCTGCGCGTGGTAGCCGTGAACTGCTGCCCCTACGAACCGAACCGAGCCTCAGTGCAAAACCCCAAAGCATTGAAACTGCTTTTTCTCAGAGACTTGACCTGCAAAGCCCAATAAGACGTCGGAGGTTCACTAAGAATAACAACGATTCAACGCCCCGAAAGGTGACATGCACAGTCTACCTGCGCACGCCGGGGAAGTGGGAGGTGTGACCCCTGCTACCGGGAAACGTTGACCTGCAGACACAGGCCAAGAAGGTGTTGCTGCGTGGGCAGCAGAATTCACAGGCGGCGACGTTGCTGAGGACGGGGCGGCTGTGTGTTGTGCACTCAGAGACGAGGGACAGGACTGCACGTGGTGAGTGGAGACGCAGCCTGCTCCCCTCCCCCTGCCCCTTCCAGGTGAGCCCTCACAGACAAGACCCCCTCCCCCTCCCGCCACCCAGCTGACAGCATGTCCTGGCCCACCACTGCCACGCCCTGTGACTGTTACTGTCCCCGGGTCGCCCAGGTAACCAGCCCGGGCGGGAGGCTGGGGCCTGAGGAGGCCCTTTGTTCCCTGTCAGAGCCTCCCTGGGGGGAAGTGGCCCCAGCAGCCGGTTCAGACCTGGCTTCCCTGAGGACACTCCGTCTCACCACTCTCTTTGCATGAATCCCCCGGAGCTGGGCCGTGAGGCCGGCAGGGGGCCAGGTGCCCTCAGGGTCTCCCTCGTGCTGCTCGGGCTCTGGGCACTCCTGGCTTCGGTCCAGGGCTCTCAGGGCCGTCCCTCCTGGCGCTATGTGTCCTCCGAGGTGGTGATTCCGAGGAAGGAGACACACCGTGGCAAAGGCTTCCAGGTGCCAGGCTGGCTCTCCTACAGCCTGCGTTTTGGGGGCCGGAGGCACGTCATCCACCTGCGGCCCAAGAAACTTCTTCAGCCCAGACACCTGCTGGTGATGACGCAGGATGACCAAGGAGCCTTGCAGATGGACTACCCCTACATCCCTACAGATTGCCACTACCTCGGCTACCTGGAGGAGATTCCTCTCTCCATGGTCACTGTTGACACGTGCTACGGGGGCCTGGACGGGGTCATGAAGCTGGATGACCTTGCCTATGAGATCAAGCCCCTCAAGGACTCCCGCAGCTTCGAACACGTTGTTTCCGAGATCGTGGCCGACCACAATGCGACAGGACCTATGTACAAACTGGGACTCAAGGAGGACGTGGACACCCTGTTCTCCGAGGTGAACCCCAGTGCGGCTCCCCGGACCTCTCCTTGGGTCTATGCCTCACATGAGTCCAGCGTCAGAGCCCAAGTCCTGTTTTCCTTGTCCATGTATCGTGTATTCGGTAACATCACGAAGTGTACGAATTGGATAGTGTCGATGTCCAGTCTAGCCGACACCTTCCTTCAAGCTCTCGATTCAAGCTTCTTCCTTTATCTCATAACCATATATAGCCAGAGAGATCCAGCCGCCATGAATGACTTTAGGCTTCCAGGAAGCCCAATGCACAACTATTATGTATCAGAATTTTATAGGAGGATGACTCTTTCGGGCGCCGTGCTGCTCATTAAAGAGGGTCCCCAGGACAGCGCCGTGGACCCCCCGCAGTACAGCTTGTGCAGCCAAAATAGCCTGCTGTATACTGGCTATCTAGACAGACACTATTTCTTGATAGCTGTGGTAGTGTCCAATAAACTTATGAGGAATTACGGTATGTATTATGATCATGTAGGGTGTGGTTGCCTCAGAAGAACTTTCTGCATAATGGAGAGATACCCTGGGCTGACAGATTCATTCAGTAACTGCTCCTATGTCCATTTCCAGCATATCTCTTTAGGAGGGAGAGGGAAATGTGTCTTCCACCCACCTGTACAGTCTTTTAATAGAAGCGAGGCAGAGGTTCGTTGTGGCAACTACATAGTGGAGGAGACAGAGGAGTGTGACTGTGGCTCTCTGAAGCAGTGCTACACCACCCAGTGCTGTCAAATGAACTGCAGGCTCACGTCCAGAAGCACTTGCCATGTAGGAGAATGCTGCACGAACTGCAGCTACTCTGCTCCTGGAACTCTCTGCAGACCTATCCTGAATATATGCGATCTTCCAGAGTACTGTACCGGGGGAGCCGCATCCTGCCCCACAAACACTTATATGCAAGACGGAACCCCATGCACCGAAGAGGGCTACTGCTACCAAGGGAATTGCACTGACCGCAGTGTGCACTGCAAGGAAATCTTTGGTGTCAGTGCGGTGAACGCTCCGGAGGCCTGCTACAGCATAAACACAGGAAGAACCCGATTCGGACATTGTTCCAGAATCTACTATGAGGTGGCGTTCACAGCTTGTGCTGCAAAGGACCAGATGTGTGGGAGGCTGCAGTGCGCCAATGTCACCCATCTTCCCCGACTTCAGGAACACGTTTCCTTCCATCAATCCGTCATATCAGGCTTCCAGTGCTTTGGGCTGGACTCGCACCGTGGGACGAGAACAACGGATGCTGGGCAAGTGAAGACCGGCTCTATCTGTAGCCCTGGAAAGTTCTGTAATAACAGTGTGTGCGACGGGACTGTGGCTGACCTGCAATACGACTGTGCCCCTCAGAAGTGCAATCGCCGAGGTGTTTGCAACAACAGAAGGAACTGCCACTGCCACGTGGGCTGGGACCCACCACAGTGCCAGAAACGAGGTTTTGGTGGGAGTGTAGACAGCGGACGCCCTCCAAGAAAAATGCGAGCAATTCAACAAAGTGAGGTGTCATTAGTCTATTTGAGACTGGCCTTTGGTCGTATTTATATCTTGATAGCTGTATTGCTCTTTGGGGTGGCCACAGGTGCACGAACTGTTACGACTACCAAAGTTGAAGAAAAGACGATTACAGCCTGAGCCCACAAGAAACAAGCCTCCTGCCAAACCCTTGTAAAATTATAGGCACTATGGTCGGAACATCTAGGAAAGACAGTTGCTACAAGGGATGGCCACGCTCACGTCCACATGTCTTGCAGTCTGCAGGAGACTCAGGGGTCTTCTCACATCATAGGAGCAAGGGAGGCGTCGGCTTCTGTCACACGTTCTCTTTTTAGCTGGCTGGCGCTCACTCTGAAATAAAGCTTCAAAACCAGATGTTGGCGTCTTCTACCTCTTTTTATAGGCCGTTAGGAGCCCAAACTGAGCTTGAGCCTGTGACCAGGAGAGGTGACCTGAGTCAACTACTGGGTCCTGACCTGAGGTCACTGGTCCCAGAATTAATCGAAGTTGCCACCAGCTCCTTGAAGGGCACATCCCTGGCGTTTCTCCACAGTGTGCACCTGAGCAATGAGCTTTTCCTCATTCTCCAGGTAATCTGTCCTTCTAAAACCCAAAGTGGGTTTAGGCCAATCCAGGGCTGCTCCCTGCCAAAGCTGCCTGTTCCTCACTGGGGTGGCTGTGGGCTTTGGGGTGAGGGGCACGTGGGCCCAGACACCCCACTGAGCAAGAGCTGTGCCCTCCTGGAGCCCACATTCTCCTGGCGGGAAACTGAGATTGTGGGGCTGAACGGTGCATCCAAGGAAGTTCAGTCAGAAAAATAAATAGGCAGAAGTGCCCAGCAGGGTCTCTGGCATTGAGCGGGAGTTCCGTGAACGTCAGTTCCTCCCTCCCTTCCTCACGCCCCATTTCAGTGACGTGAGAATGCAGGTACACTGAGTCACTTGCAACGAATAACAGAAGCCAGGCTTTCAGAAGAGTAGGCAGATGCCCCGTGTATCCAAATACATTAAAAATTATTTCATAAAATAAAGTGCAATTTATGAAAATAATTGCATCAGTAAATAAATTATTTTTATACACTCGCACTCCATGTCAAATCCCTCTTAATTTTCCTTTTATCCTTTTCTTCTCCCTCATCCATCCTAATTATTACACACTTAATTTAATCTTATTAATAGTTGGTCATACATAAAAACTTTTTATTCATATCACACTGCATCACAAAGTGGACTATTGTATGTGATCAGACTTACACATATTAGCTCGGGACCTAGTGCTTGAGTTCCATTCCGTAATGCTTATATTTTGCCTGTTTGTTCACGACCTCCAAAGCACTAACCTTTTAACCTTATCCCCATCACAATCATTTTAATAACAGGGTTTATCTCTGTCTCCAAATTTTATATTGTGGATCCTGTAAAATTCTCATTTTTCCGAATCTCATCTCCCATCCTCCGCTTTCCGCCCTCATACTCGCTACTCTTCGTTTTTCCTCTCTTATTTTCGTTCTACCCAAATGCCAACCATCTTTTATTATCAAATAGTTCTCCTCTCCATTATCTTAACCTTCCTATTTTTGCATCGGCTGTATCTTCCCATCAGATTCACCATTTTTTATTAAAACAAAAGACTATCACTTTCGGCTTAAGAACACTTACCTCTCAACATTCATTATTTTTTCCATCATTTCCTCCCGAAGATCTTGACATTCTCAGCTCAGTCATACGTGATTGTAAACAATTCCACATAACATGACTTTTCGCCATATCATAAACACACCACTTATAACTACCATTGACTCCAGCACTTCACCAAAAATTATCTCTGAAAAGCCCTTCCTCTGATTTTCATAATTCTATTTTTATTATCCCTATTCCACTCTTTATAATCCTTACCTCCTTATCCAAATCCCCATTTTATTCTTTATTCCTCTTACCAATCGATCCTCTCCTCCTGGCTATTTCTTTTCATTTATTATAGAGTGCTTCAGATTGAACTCGGGACGGACTTTTTCCTCTATCTACCCTGGATATTCCCACTTCCTAGATTAGGTTTTCTTCTCCGCCACGGCGGCACCTGCGGTCAGGACTGTCCTCCTGCCTCGCCTGTCCTCTCCCGCACACTGGGTGAGCTGCGTAGGCCGGGTCGCAGGCTGTGCAGGGTCTCTCAGCCCGAGGGCGTGGAGCAGCAGCGCTTGGTGCCAGTGTGCCTCGGGGTGCACGCATGGCGGCCACCTGCAGCACGGTGGGGGACGCTTTCTCAACTTCCTGGTGGGGGTGGGAAGGACTTCACCGGAGGGCGTTCCTGGCGGACCTGGGGCGCGAGATCCGATACTCTCCTTCTAGTGTCCTAGCTGTCCCAGGATCTGGTGCCATCCGCGCTGCTTGCCAATTGGCCTCCGCTCCTCAGGTACCTGGTCCGGTCGGCGGTCTCCAGTCTTCCGGACAGCGGCCCTGGCCCGGGAGGTGACCGGATTCCTGCTATCTTTCTTATCTTTTCCCTCTTCCTTCTTTTTTTATACATACTTTATATTCATCACATTACATCCCTGCGACTTCAATAAATCTCCAAATGAAGGCCTGTCTCTATTTTCTCATTTCTTCCTCTCCAGCGAATCTTTTTTTAACCTTTTATAAGTATAGCCAGGCTCTAAAGTCTGATGCTACCTATCTTCAGACTGTACCAGGAACATTCAATACATACTTAAATATTTGGCCCACTTAATTTCCGCGAGTCGCTCTTCTCCAGTTTCTCTTGATGAAGTTCTCTATTCCAAATTTGTTTTAAAAATATAACTTCACTCTCTTTCCTGATTTTACTCTTCTAATTATCTTTCTTTCTGTTCATTTAGCTCCCATCTGCTTTTAAATCATGCGCAGCCCTGATATTCTCCACTCAGCATCCACAGCCCCCCGCTTCCGGGCTCCTTCTCGCACAATAACATTTCCACTATGAGTTCCTCCCTTCTAATCCTCTTCCTCTACCTATACTCATCGCGTTTCTTCTCCTTCGGGGACGAGCCCAGCCCCAGCGTTTCTTCTTCTGCCCCACTGACCTCACCGTCCTCCTTAGCTCCCGTCTCCTACTTTTCAAATGCCCACCTCCATCTGCGCCCTGCGCATCTCTCCTGTGTAGCACCTTTTACACGCACTTTATTTTCATGCTTCCATCTAATATCCCTTCTTGTCTCTAAATCCTGCTCTTTCACGTTTTTATCTTCTTATTCCACCCAGCTGCAGGGCCGCCTTCCACTCTCTTATCACTCCCATACTTCTTACTACTATCCGTTCAGCCTTCACTCCATCTCACATTCGTTGATCCCTTTCTCATCCTATTATCCTGCGTTGTCATTCTTTCCATGTTTCCTCACTCACCCCATCTTACCATATTTTTTTTTTCATTCCAACAACTTTTCGAATCTCCATACTCCTTCTCTTCCCCTTTCTTTTTACTTATTTTACCCCTACAATCCTCTCTCTTCCTCTTCTCCTTGAATTTATTCCTCTCTCCTTTCCCACTTATTTCAATCTCAATATATTAAATTTTTCTCCATTTACCCATTCCTTCTTCTCTCACCTTTCTTATCTAGCTTTTCTTTATTTATTTCTATTCTGTATACTCTGTCTATTTCAATGTTTAATATTCGTGCATACCTCTCCCACACTCAATGATTTTCTCTCACATTTATATTCATTCAATTCTTTCGACTGCTTATCGTTTAAACCATTTTCTCATCAGTTCTTTCTTCCGGATAACGGTCTCTCCTCAGAAAAATTTCACTTTACTTAATCCCAATTCCACATCATTCCATTTAATCAATTAAATTCCTTATAGATGTTGAGCTATTTTTATTATTTTTCTTAAATCCAAATTCCTATTGCATCTCAATACAGAGTATAAGTTCTTTTTCTTAACTTTCCTTCCTCATCCCACCATCTCCACTTAATCATACAGATTTTCTCCCCATTTCTCTCTCTCCTCAGCATTTCCATCATGCTACTCCTCTTGCATTATGCTTTCCTTACAATGCATAACTGTATTTCTATGTTTACCCTGCTCTATCGGCTGTATCCTGCGAGATCCTATCTATTTTATATCCATATTCATAGACATCCTTTTCTTCCATGATCTTTTCATTTTATATCCGACATTCCATGTCTATACCTTTAATATCCTCCTTCTTTATCTTTCTCTTTTGCCACTCAAGCTTCACCCACTTATCCTTCACGCTTCCATTAATTAAGAGTTTTTATCCTCATACTAACTCTCAGTGCACCCTTTTCCCAAGTTCAATATCGTATTACCCTTCATCCAGCGTTCTTCTACACGTTCCCTGCTTCCTCCTTCTCCTTCTATGCATCCTACCACCCCAAGTCTGCAATTCTCCACCATCCTTATATCTTATATTTTTTCTTCCATATCCGTCTATAAATCATCCATATTCTTTCCTGATTCCACACTCACATTATCCCACACTTATTTCTAGCCTTAGATATCTTTCCATCTTCTCACTTTTTCCTCTTCTATCGCACTAGTCTCTTTGGTTCTCCTTTACTTCCGTACTCATAAAATAAACTTTCACCGCTCATCGCTTCCTGACTCACATCATTCATTCCACATCTTTCTCTTTTTTATATATTTCACATTCATACGTTAACATTTATATAATTAGATTCTTCATTTCAAATTCCAAGCCATTTAATATAAAATTATTTCTCTCTTTCACTCATTCAATACAACTTTTCCTCGTCTTCTTATACACTTTTCTCTTCTTTTCACCCTCAACATTATATAAATTCTTCAACCCATTATCTCATCACAATAATCTTTTTCTCCATGAATAAAAATTTTACTTATATTTACATCAACCTTTGAAATCGTCCTCTCTTCTTTTTAAACTTCACTACATTTAAGCCTTTAATTTGCCTCTCTCCTCTCTCCTCTCCTCTCCTCTCCTCCGCTCCTCTGCTCTCTCTCTCTCCCCGTCCCTCCCTCTCTCCTGCCCCTTCTCCTCTACGTCTGGAGGCAGGAAGGAGAGAGGGAGTTGCGTGTAATTTGCTGGCCAGGATGAGGAGGACAGGAGACTCCCGTTCTAGCAATGCCGTCGTCCCAGCCGATGAGAAGAAATGCCATGGAGCAATTGAAGGGGAGCGCCCTGCTTCTCAGGGCCACAGCCTGTTCCGCGCGCCCCCGCTGACGGTTCTGGGCGGTTCCTCGATGCAACAGCGCCCTCGGGCGCTGTGTGCCCAGGTCGCAGGGCATGCCAGCACCCGCGAGCCCTCAGCGTCACCAGTCACGCGTCCGCGCTCCTGGCAGGACACGGTCACCAGCTCTTCCCACTGAGCGGGTCCACGCGAGCGAAGTTCACGTGGTGA